CCCCTGCGAGGCAGCCTCATCACAATCACAAGTATCGAGTGCCCAGGCGCAGGTGTCCCCGCCACCCAGGCCCTCATCACAATCACAAGTATCGAGTGCCCAGGCGTGGGTGCCCCCGTCACGCAGGGCCCTGCTCAGGGTCCGGTTTGACTGTTCAGCTCATGAGGCAAGAAGCTAGTGGGCAACACAGTACAGGGCTGGCTTCAGTCGGGGACCAGCAATGCTCAGGGATGGAAAAACGCCTGCTCTCCCCGGTGCCTGGGGTGGTGAGGCAGAGCTCAGGCTTCCCGCAGCAGCAGGTCTGCACCAGGCCCCAGCGCTCACCCGCCAGGCAGGAGCAGCCGGGTCTGGGTCTGCACCTGAGAGCTCAGTGAGAGAGACTGGGCGCCCGCTGGGCTCCGCCTCACTCCTGCCCTCGGAGTCAGGGGAGGCAACCAGGAGGACCAACCAGGCCAGAGCCAACAGTGGCCGGGATCCCAGATTGCCTGGCTCCTCCTCTGGCTCTCCCTTTGTTCCTTTGTTGAGGAGCTGGTGACACGGGGGTTGTGTGTGAGTGGGGGGTGCCATTCAAGCCATCCACTCTGAGACTGGAGGCTAAGGGGCAGTCTAAGAGGGGAGGGACATGGAAGGGACAGAACCACTTAGATTCAGTGCTTGAGGCACACTTCCTTGTCTCTGTGTGGACACCCTCCAGAGGGAAGGACACATATTTATCTTTGGTGTTTTAGAAGGGCAGTTTACCCGTCCTTGTCCCGTAAATCAAGCTAAGGGCCTCCTGCTATTCAGTAAAACCACGGCTGGAGCCAAGAATGAGCAAGGGGCAGATGGCATCCAAGAAAGTGGGGTGCCTGTCGGCAGGTAGTTGTCATCGAGCGGCCAGCATGCCCTGGCTGGAGGCTCCTCCCCACTGCACCGCAGGCCAGCACACCTGCCCCCTGCTCCCAGTGGTGTCCACTCTCTATCTCCTCTGGAGACACTGGTTGTGCCCTCCGTGGAGGGCTCCTCAGTCCCACTCACTGCCTTCCTGGCTCTGTCCCTGACAAACTAGCTTCAGGCTGTGGCCTGCTCCCCCACCTTCACTTCCAGTACCTTGGTAATTCTGTCCCGAGCAGGCACACGGCTGTGCCACTCAGAGGCCGTGGCATTCAAAACCCAGTGAGGTCTAGCTTCCCAAGTCCATTCTCCCTCGCCAGATGCCCCAGCGTGAGTTCCCTCCTAGCCGAAGGGGCACACCCATGGTGACACGGGGACACAGCCGGGTCTGTGAGGGAACTTCTAACCAAGGGGTCTTGCCCATTATTCCTGATCTCTGACCCCTTCTGGACCTTGGGAAAAGACTTAATCCTAGAAAGAAATGGTCTGACGTTCTTCGGGACGGGGGCATTAGCAAGAGCAAACCGTTCACATTTTCAAACTTTACATGGAAATGTAAAAATATTCTAATATACATCTAAAATATACTTAAAAAAAAAAAAGAAAGAGGGGAAAAGAAGTAGTCCGTACCGGGAAAGGCTCCGCCCCCTCCTGGATCACAAACCCTTCGATAACATGCGTCAGGATTTGGGGTTTCACAATGGCCTGTGGTGGTTTATTCTCACCATTCTGGGGGGCAGTGCCGGCGATGCTGGAGGCAGAGTTTCCGTTCCCTGAGGTCATGCCGGGGCAGCTGAGGTCGGTCAGTGCATGAACAATGCCCTGCCCTGTCTCTGCACGAGGGAGAGGGGGAAGACAAAGCGGGGCAGGTGAGACCCAGAGTCCAGGCCCTGAGAGGACGCGAGGGCTCCGACCGCGGCTGCGACACAGTGCGAGCCCACAATGCCCTCCCTCGGCAGCCTGCTGGAAAGTGGCACCGTCCCAGTGGACGCACCGGCAAGGGCGCAGGCTCCGCTGGGCACCAGGTGGCTCCTCGGCCAGCCTGTCTTCAGTGCCCAACCGCAGAGGAGCGCTTAACGAGGCCAGCCGGAATTCTGTCAAGGCTGACTCGAACAAATACAGTAACATTCGCTTGAAGGAGAAGTTAAGTGTTCAGGGAGACACCTAAAATCTGGGTGAGAAGTCGAACAACGCATCAGGCTTAGGGTGTGAAAGTGTTTGGTGAGAGGTTCAATGAACCTTCTAGATGGTTCCTTAAGAAATGCATATATTTCTTTTTTTTTTTTTTTTGAGAGATTTTCACTGTAGGGCGCATGCGCTCGCCAGACAGAGAGAGACATAGAGACAGAAAGCGAGAAATCACCCCCCAGGGGGGATGGTCTCCTCCATTCTCCTCTAGGGATCTTGGGCACGCATGCACACGCGCCCGGCGTGAGTTTTTTAAGCCACCGGGTCCGGGACACGAACTGCGGTCGACTACGTGGGAGTCCAGCGACATAGCCATTACGCTAACTAAAGGAGAATGGAGAAGAAGGAATTGTGGAGTGGCCATCCTCCCTAGGGGTTAATTTCTTGCTTTCTATCTCTCTTTCTGGTGAGTACATGCACCCTATAGCAAAAACCTCTCCAAAAAAAAAGAGGTGCATGTATTTCTTTATTGAGGAAGCTGCCAGGAGTCTGGGCTCACAGTGCACGTCAAACACTGCCAGGGAAGCTGAATCCCACATGTCCAACTAGGGCTCAGATCCTGCCCTGGCAGCTCCAAAAACTCTGAGGGGCTGGCAGATGGCCTGGTGGTTAAAGCACTGGACTCCCACATGGACTACTGGGTCTGAGTCCTGGACCTGGCAGCTCGCTTTCTCACTCTCCCCTTCTCTCTCTGGTGAAATTAAAATAATAATGATCATTTAAGAAATAAAATAATTCTTACACAAAACAAAGCACACTGAGTGGATGTACGCCCAGGATTCTGATGGGATGAAAAATTGGAGGAAAAAATGCTGCAGCTTGATCAGGCCCAGTGTTGGGTTGACTATGTGGGAGTCCAGAGATGGAACCATTATGCCATCTGCTGGTTCCTTTCCTTCTCTTTTTAAAAGTTTATTTATTTATTTTTATTGTTAAGTTTTGCCACAGGGCACGTGTACTCACCAGAAAGACAGAGAGACAGTGAGAGGGAAAGTGAGAAATCGCCCCTGGAGGGATGGGCACACCGCAATTCCTTCTCCCCCATTCTCCACTCAGGATCTTGGGCACGCACATGCACACACACACGCCTGGCCTGAACTTCAAGCTACCAGGTCATGAGACCTGAACTGCACAGCTGGTCATGGGGTCCAGCACCTTAACCACCAGGCCACCTGCTGGACCCTACTCTCTTTTTCATTTTTTAAAGATTATTTTGACAGAGAAAGGAAGAAAAAAAACCCTTGATGGGGTTCAGCTGCCTGCATCCTCTGGCTAGCCCGAATGGCCGGCACGCAGCACACGCCCTGTGGCCTGGGTTCTAGGTCAGTCTGGGATCGGAACCGTGGCCGCCCACGTGGCCCTAGCACGCCAGGACAGTGCCCTACCATCTGTGCCTCCAGGGCTGGGCCTCATCCCAGCAATTCTAACGCTTGGTAAAACAGAATAAATCTGTTTTCATGAACAAGACCTGACGGGGTTGGGGCTCCAGCTCAGTCTCTGTGACGCAACTGTGCGAAGGTCAGGGCTGGGCAGGAGAAGCCAGTGTGACTGATCAGTTCTTCAAAGCTAGCTTTAGTCCGAGACTCAGCGGCACCAGCAAGGGAGACACGTCCTGGTAAGCGTCTATATTCACTTCAAATAACATTTTTCTAAAAAACAACTTGGGCTTTTTCATAGGGATGGAAACATTTCTCCTCTTTTAGTCTTTCTAAATCGTAAAGGTTTGGGAACTGAAAAATAAAATCTTTCCTTTAAAATCTATAATAACTAAGGGGATTGCATTAATGACACAATCAAATTAAGTTTCTGTACCTTTACATTTTAAATATGTAAGGGCATTTACACATATTTTCTCTTTTATTTTTAAAGTTTTAAATATACAAGAATATATTTTAGCTGAAACAATGAGTACATGCTGTTAAAATACGGAGTGTATTCTGTGCCTGACGGCTATTCTGTGCCTCGTAAACAGAGCCTACCATGGCGTCTCCTGGTGAAGTGAATGAGCGGCCGACGACACAATCAGGGCTGGAGGCCTGGCTCGGTGTCTTGCCAGGGCTTGAACGTCCTCTGGCACACCCTCCTCAGGGACCCCTGGCCTCTGCCTGTATGCATCTGGAGACAAAAGAACACACTGCCCGAGGCCATGCACCCACCTTGGGCAGGTCCGACACCCAGTTCTTCCCAGGGCAGTGCCACATGGCAGCCCGTTTGAACCCCGGCTCAGTGGGCCTGGAGTGTGTGGGCGCGTGTGCGAGTGCTCAAGACCCGAGGGCGAGGGAGGGCTGCAGGGGCTCTCTCTCGTGCTCCATCAGGAATAAAGAAAAAGCGCTCTTCCTTATAATGAGCCGAACAGCTGTCTTCCTGTTGATTTCTGCCCAATTTTCCTGGTTCTGTTCCTTAAGACCACAGAAATAGGGTCAATCAGATCTGATTGATAGGCAAAACAGGCTTGGACCTGGCTTAGAGGCCATCTCCAACGCTGCGGGTGATGGGAAGTCACCGTCCTTCCGAGCCTGTCTCACTGACTGTCACCCAGGATGCTAGTGCCTGCCTCCGGGAGTGCAGCGCCAGCAGCGTGGGACTGGCCTGCTAGGGAAGGGCAAGAAATGCTCCTGGTGTCATAAACGAGCCACCCGTGACCCCAGGCCAAAGCCCCCTGCTCTTACAACTCTCACACGCAAATGCTGCAGTCCATGGCCCCGCCAGCTCCTCCCGGGAACACTGTCTGACATCAGGGGCCCAGGCCACAGGAAGCGCCACACACCAAGGGGGAGCAGCCGAGAGACCTGTTGCTAAGACTGTGGTTTTGTTTTAAACGCTGTCATACTTCTGAAAGCACAGAGTCCTCACTTCAGTTTATCATACCTTGACCGGATTAATCGTTCTCTGAATGCTCGGTCCCCCACCTCCTGCCTTCTCACAGATACTCATCGGCAAACCCTGTCCGAGACTTCGCCCCTGTATGGGCTCTCTCCTTGCTCCTTTCCTTCTCCCAGATCTGGCCTAGTAGAGCACACTGAGGCAGAGGGGTGACTCGAGGTCAGACTGTCACCAGTTCGCGGGCGACGCAGCCAACGCTCACCTCTAGGAAGCAAAGACTTTTTGGAGTTTGAGTTAAAAAGAAAAAAATTAGGGGGCCAGTAGATGGTATAATGGTTATGTCGCTGGATTCCCACGTAGTTGACCCTGGTTCAAGTCCTGGACCTGGCAATTTAAAACTTGTCGGGGGGCATGTGTGCGCTCACCCGAGATCCTGAGAGGAGAGTGGGAGAAGGGACTGTGGCGTGGCTGTCTTCCCCGGGGAGGGGTGGGGTGGGGTGGGTGGGTTTCTCGCTGTCTTTCTGGCGAGTGCACAGGCCCTACAGCAAAAATTTCTCTTAAAAAAAAAAAACTTTAAGAGACAGGACAAACTAATAAACGCTTTCATGGCAACATTAGAAACTATCACTCATCATAACCCCAGGGTAGACTACAGGAGACAGGACCCAAGGGGCAGGAGGAGAAGGGAGAGTGCTTTGTGAGAATACGAAGATGCGAGCATCTCTGCTGCGCGGCCAGCCGTCCGTCATCTGCCTTAGTAACAAAGGAGTCTGGGCTATTTCGGGAATGACCACACACAATCTCACCCCTGCCAAGCTCAGCACACTGAGATTAATTTAATCTGCTTCCCGCTTCCCAGACTGCCTTGCGGCCTGCTTGGGGGAAAGCAGCTTACCAGTGAAACTTGCAGAAACCTGCCCTGCTGGCCCAGAGGCCACATAAAAGGGACAAAGAAACACTCCCTGGAACTTGTTCCAAGCTCAGCCCTCCTGCCCAGGCCCCGCGCTCTGAGTGCTGCCCAGGACTGGCACAGGTCCCCAGGGCCTCTCTCAGCTACACATCTGAACTGAAAGGTGGAGGAGGGCACAGCGACTACCAGGGCCCGGGAGGGTCAAGCACAGCTTCAGACGGGAGTGGGTGCCGTTAGCTGAAGCAGCCCACGAAAGGCCAGGTGTTCAGGCCACGAGCGACAGAGACACGGCTCGTTCTGGGCCATCGTACATAATTCATGCCACGAGCTCTGGGGCACCCCTCCGTCTAGCTCACTCAGCTCTGGCAAGAAAGGCCCTTACAGGGACAGGCTAAACAGGAAGGCCCGGCCAGCCATGGTCTGCCAAGTGTCTGCCCTGGGGTTGGTCACCCCTGCAAAGCAGAGCAGGTTTCTCTAGGCAAGGGCCATGACTCAGTCACCTCTATCTCCCGGGGCTGCCCCCACGCCCTCATGTCTGCTAAGGAGACCAGGATCCCAGCCTTCACTGTCTACATCCAGGGCCCAGGTCTCCCTAGTCCCCAGACAAGCGACTAGGCACTGGCTGAGACCTGCCCACAGGGGTGATCCTTCAGGTGTTGGCTATGCAGATGAGTAAGAGCTCTGCTTTGTCCTCTTTGTTACAGTGGGGATCACCCCCGGGGCGGAGTCTGTCCCCAAAGGTGGCGCCGAGCCCCCACTCCTAGAACTCTAGATTTCTTGTCCCTTTTGAAACCTTTACGCCAATCCAGGCACCTGGCAAGGCAGGACAACCTCTAGAAGCAGAGGACAGAGGATCCTGGGGAGAATCCCACCCTCAGCGCCAGCTGGTCGGTGCCCAGGCAGGCTGGGACC